CTTCTCTTGTCTCATCGTTCCCTCTCTACTTCTTATCTTCCCCTCCTCAATCTCTCCTTCTCTATTTCTCACCTATTTCTCACTCTTCCCTTACCTTCTTCTTTCCTCATAATTCCATCTCTTTCTTCCACTCTCTCCATCATTCTCTTCTCCGAGGGTGTCTAAATCTGTGCTCACGGGCACTTCAATGACGCTCCCCCCGCGAAAATTTACCCGCTCCATACCTATTTTTACTTGTTTCTATTAAACACTACATAGAACTGCTGACATACACAGTCTCAGGCAGCCACTAAAGCAGAGATAGAGGGGGAACACCGTTTTCGAGTTACTAGCGTGAGGAGAGTAAGTTAACATTAAACGTACCGCGACCGGTCAGATAACCGGTTTTAAAATTTCATTAAAAACTCTGCGTTTTATTTTGTCCATGCAACCTTGTATCGATTCTTATACTGTCCGATCAATCAGTTTTTCAATTTCCTTCTATTTCTATCTCCACTAAGAAAACTCGATTATCTAACTTGGTTACTTTTATTTTGTAATCAATTATTCCGATCGTTACTTTAGAAACAGGTCTGTACAAAGTGTCGGTAGGTTTAGCTTTAAATAGACACCTCTGTTCTTCTCTATCTCTTATTCTCACCCTATATCTCTATTCTAACTCTTCTTCATCCTCTCTCCCTCTCCTATTTCCCACATTCTCAATTTTCTTCCATTCATCTTTCCCATTCTATCTCTCCATCTTCCCCTCTATCCTTCCAACTTCTCTCATCTTCTTCCTTCACCCATCACCTCCATCCTATTTCGCCATCTCTCTTTTTCCCCTCCGTCGTTCGTCCCGTTCCTCTTTCATCCGCCGTCTCGCGTCTCTTCACGGCTAGCCGGTGAAAAGCGAAGCCGCTCGCGGTCCCGGCGTTCCACGGTCCGGTGTCACGGCCACGTGCACGCGATCGCCACAAGCGGAATCGCACGCCCATCGGCTGTCGGATGAATTCCCATTAAGGCACCCGGAGGCCCGCCTCTGAATGAACGGGCCACGCCGCGTTCTCTCGCTCCGCCGCGCCGCGGACGATGCATAACCGCGGTGTCACGATATCGCGTTCAATAGCCCGGCCTTAATTCCCTGCCTCCTCCGCTGCCCTCTTCCACGGCCGGACTTTTTTTGGCGAATTTATTGCCGGCTCGCGGCTTCCAACGCGACGCAGCTGCGACGTCCTGGCGGCGGCCACACGATCCTTTTTCTCGTAG